TGACTCATCTGACCTGTTGAAACACTAGCCAATATCATTCACACTACAGAAGGTCACAATAGTCCACCAAGAAAGGTGATGTTAGGTCAGCTTATAAGATTCGGACCAAACTGATTTACGGCACGGATTTGATGGAGATAAATAAGTCTGTGTAACGGATGCCAGTGGTGTATATGTATGACGTAATCTGGGAGAGCACACAGACCAAGTCTACCAACGTGACCTGGCGTAAACTAGGCCAGACCTTGTCCTTTAAACTTTGCCAACATCATGACATGTTTGTAATGTGAAAAAATGCATTATTTCTGTTTGTTTCGGTTTCTAAACTACGATCTCCTCAAGGATGTGCTAATATGTAACGAACTTTACGCGACCTGTGATTTCATTAGGGACGCGACTGATGTTAACTCAGCGGTCCTGGCCTACATTAATCGGGTCTGTTTATCCCCGCTCGTTCGTCCAATCCAGCGATATCATCCTATGATTCTAAAAAGGTTAAATCAAACACCCCCTCAAGAGACCAACGCTGGAAAGATACTCCATATGGTACTGGGGCTGTTTCCATATGCAGTGCTGCGACGTCAAGGGAAACTATCATAATTCCGAAAGCCAAAAAGAACATCATGCACAAACTTGCCAGGGGTAAGGGGTCCATCTTTGCCTTAACCCAACTCGCGGTGGTCTGATTAAAGTTACCTCGCAGTAGCCATGCATATTGGCCTGGCGCTGGGCCGCAGCGCACAGTTCTGCGCTGGCATCGGAGCCGACGCTGTCGAAGTTAGCCCATAAATCCCACAGCTTGGGTCCATCACTCTCACAAACTAACCTCGTTTTACCCTTCTAGACGTAATTTGGTTACTTTCTGAACGCTGCTTGCATGGACAGGTGACGTGAATAAATCAGCATTATTATCGTAAAGACTACTTTCGACGAGTTGTTGTGCGGTAGAACCTTTGCAGAGATCGCGTTCCATAATCGTTTTTATGACAATGTTGCACAGCTTCATCTTAATAACAAGTTATTAGGTTTTTTTAGATATTCTAATTTATATGGTATTCTTTGGCCAGCTATTCGGTAGCAGATTTCACTACTTGCGTGAAAGTTCTATGAACGAGCCCTCGCTCGAGCCAGTCCTTCTCACAAGTCGGGCCAATATAAATCGCGTAAGTCTAGAGCTTCTTCTGACCAGTCTCTCAGCCTCACCAACACCACCGTGTCTACATATAAAACCAACAACAGTCTTGCGTCTTCAAATCGAATGGGCATATGCGCGGTAACAAAAGATTCGCCTTATATTTGCTTATACACTGAAACGATCATGACCACCAGCTACCGAAATGATGTGACATGACGCCATTATTCATTATTGTCGTATGGGAAACGCTCACAACATTCTGCGATGGGCAGAGCTATTAGGATGAACCAATCACAAAGAGCGGGATCGCCGTGCGATCCCTGAAACTGTCTAATGCAATGTTTAGGTGGTGAGGCGATGAGAAGGATGTGTACGTAACTGTGCAGACAGACATGCATGAAGAAAATGCTAGCAGTTGTCCATGGTTTACGCTTCTTTCAAAGATCGTCAGTCTGGTGTCCATCTTAAAGTCTTCTCCCAAAATTATCACTGTCTGCTTAGGTTTGTTCCGGAGTGGTAGTTGAACTCGAGGACTTTAAGCAATGCATCAGACACGGGATGATGGTTGAGAATAATATAATACAACTATCATAGAAAGACATGCTTAACATAACTAGTCCTGGAGGGGCGTAGTTTCGTTTCCAGCGAGGGGGATTGTGCCTCACAACCAATGATGTAGCTCCTATTTTTATTAATCCTTTTTAATTCATCATCGCTTACGCTTCAGCCCGCCAACAAATCTATTCTGTGAAACTACGCCTTTGTTTCCAGCTCTGAAAAGAAACTGCGTCCAATCTTGGGAGAAAACCGTTTTAATGACAAGTCGGAGGCAGTCTCAGCCACCTTTATTTCTGCTCTCCTCCCCTTCAACTCTACAGATCTGACAAAACTGCATTCCTGCAGCCTTAGATTTAACGATAACATGGTTTTATAATTACTTGAAAACGATATCGCTTTTGGTTGTGTGACGTCATCGTCCATGAGCTAGAAGCGTTGGCGGCGTTCACTATCTTCGCACGATCACCGGTACTACCGGTGCAGGCCTCGCACTTCCTACCAAAGTTCCAGTTACTTTTGCGAAATCTATGTTATATTGGTATGAGCAGATTCAAACGACATTTTTGAACAACTCTAGCACCTCCATATACCTCTATATGCGACATAGTGAAACATGTTATATCGTTATAATTTAAAAACGTTTTATCTCACGCCTGTTCGCCGGTCAGTGCGCTTCGTCTGAGGTGCGACGGACGTTGTGAGAGGCGATGCGATGCAATGCGAAGTGATACTCGGCTTCTTACCTCAAAGGGCATTGTGAGAGGCGACGCGACGCGATGCGATGTGGTACCCGGCCTCCTACCTCAAAACCGCTTTTCCTCTCAGCAGCAGGAACCCCCAGATGAATCCTTGACATACGTCGCTCCAACGTCCTCGGTTGTCCTCTGAAGCTGCAGTTCGGGTATCCACAAACAACTTCCTAGATCCATCCAGCCTCCTAGATGGGCAGAACTTTTTAACGCTGCCACCAGGGTGCCGTCACTGGTAGACCCTTAGAAAAACGACACGACGCCTGAAAAAACTAACGATTCGCTACGCTCTTGAAGCCAGTCAGCCTCTAACGACACAAACACAACTAACGGTAGCCAATAGCCTTGCACGGAACTAAATTCATCACCAAGTGGTCACCATTCGAGCCCATCTATCTCAAATGGCATGACGCTTTAAAACGCCGCGTGGCAAACTGATCATGTTCGCCGCAAGATACCGTGGTCAGCGATGATTCTTACGGCTAGCAAAAGCCTAGTTATTTGGTGTTTTATACTGTTAAACATGTGGAGGGAATCTTGGCTGAAAAAAAACGTGAAAGGCCCTGATCAGACAGGTGTTAGAAAAACGCTGCGTTACCACAACTATGTGAAGTCTGCACTGTCTCGTTTAACTGGGATTATCTGTTGTAATATGGCTTGGTCTCTTGTTTTTATTTTCGCTATTTTGGCACCAACTGGCCTTTGACTTTGTTGTTTTGCTGTTTTGTTTTGTTACAAACACCCCTTGGCTCGCAAAAGTGTTCGCCTTTGCCACCGATCAAATCCGGAAAATGGGAAGCTTTTTCATCACTGTGCACTTAGCTGGCGTTTGGCAGGTGCAGACTGCCAACGGACGGGCTTAGTGCAGTATAGTCCACATTGCATGCCATGTAATTTGTTTTGCATGGGTCGTAGGTGCCAGGTAAAAGGTGCTAGCCTAGGTGCCATGGTAAAATGTCCTGAGACTTGATAGAGATGGTTGGTAACAGGCTATAGGAAAGATGTTTGTTGCACTGCAGTTACTAGGTTCAAAAAACAAATTTGCAACTAGAATACTTGTACCTAGTTTTGAATACCATAATGCATATATATATATATATATATATATATATATATATATATATATATATATATATATATATATATATCAATGGGTGGTATTGCCAATGAGTCCTAAGACTACGAGCCAAAACTGGATCAGATATTTGATTTTGTAAGCTGCGTGAGTCTTGGGTCAAATTCAATTCCAGCAGTGGGTCTGAACTGAGCTGAATCAAAAATCTTCGGGCGGCTATGAGTCATGAGCTGAAAAGAACGCCCAAATATGTGAGCTGGTCCTGGGCCGGCTCTAAAAACCGGCTAAACCGGCCGGCTATTGCGTTGGCCGTGGCGTTGTGACGACGAACGTGGTGCACATAAGCGTATAATATTAACATTCCTATTTTTACGTAGGTGTCAAAAACTGCATTCATTGAATCGCAGGCGTCGCTTCGATCTAGAATTTTCTTCTTCTTTACCCATCATTGCTTGAACTCATCAGACCCCGCGGTGCAAAAAATGCAGTCATCGACATTTGCAACGAAATTGGCGGCAGTCAGCTATAACCTCACCAACCATTACACGCCAACCATAATCATACACCTAACATAATATTCGGCTAACGGCAAAGTATGCACTGACTCGGCATCCTCTGGACACTTTGAGCACAGTCATATGCCCATGGGCGAATTATATTTGATGGTGACACGCACTCATAGCACAAGTTCGATGCACAGGCCTCAATGGAGATCGTTCGAAGCCGATTCTACACATGGTGTTACGTTTGGGCGCTAGCAGGCCGAAAATGACAGCAAGCCTCGCCCGCGCATTTTCCTGAGGGACTCTAGGAGCGCCCTGTAAGGTTTTCCAAAAGAAATCGAGATATCAGATGGGATCTGCAAAACGCTAATTTGAGCCGTTTCACTGCCAAAGATAGCATGTACCAAGCTTTCAGTCACAGCGATCTGATGCAACTTGACTGGAGGTTTCCAACTGTTTTTGCGCAGCGCTAGCTTGCTTAGTTTTCTAAATCTAGCGGGGCATCTGAGATCCCCTCTACTCGTAGGTGAAAAGTAAAAACTCCCGTCGTAGGACGAAGATTAAAACCATTGTTTTGAGGGATTCTGACGATTTGAGCGTTACTCTTTGAGCACCGCCGGCCACCCAACAGCCAGGCGACGGCCCGATCACAGAACACATAGGAGACGCAAGCTTGGCTGGGCGACTGAACGCGCCGAGTTGGCCGCCACGCGGCACACCCCGCGCATTTCAACGCCTGAAGTTTGATTGGGATTGGTGTGTAGTGAATTCACTGCGGACGGAAAGCGTCTTCAGCGTTTGCTGCGTAGAGATCTGAATTATTTAAATTTATAGCAGACATTTCAGTGGGTCTGGAAAATCTCTCGACGAAAGATGCACACAATGCACGATGCTGGCTTTCTTTTACCCATGAAGTGGGATTTTCGTCCGTCGACGTGATCAAACAACTGCCTGTTCAAAAAGGCTACCAAAAATAACGATACAAATCTGGCAAGTGTATTACAACAGGTCATAGGGGGCTGATATCAGACATATGGACTAAACGTCACAGAAAGTTGATTAGAATCAAACATCTTGTTTACGTCGCGATGCAGAGCACACGTAACACATAAGTTCATACATTTGCCGAGCAAACTAAAACAACTAAGCCTTAAACATACACCTATGTCAAACACACACGTATGTCTGTTTACTTTGAATGTTCAAAGCATTTTGCCCGGTCTGTTTTCTTCAGCTAGCCACGCCAATGCCCGCACAACAAACTAATCATGCCCAGAATCGTTCGCGCGCAGAACAACTTGCGTACCAGTGATCCTATCGCGCTGATCCGTAACATCAAAATGAAACCGCAAATTTGCCGGCACCTTAACCGTTCGTTCACAATTCTCATAATGCAAGTCATCAGAAGGAATGGACGCCAACAATGTCCGTACAGGCACACCAAACAGTCGAGCAAGCCCATTCACCGTCAATCAAAAACGAATGCAGTGCGTGTGTTCTCTACTGCCGCTATCAAACCAATTTTTCGCGTCGCTTTAGATGGGAAAAGCGGGAAATTCGAGCTTCTTCGCATTGAAAGGGAGTGCTCCACATCTGTATGGATTTTAAACCCTAATAGCCAATTTAAAAATTATTCGGTGCAGCTCACAGCCCTGCCATCTCTAAAAGCCTAAAGCACACCAATTTCTGAACTACCCGCCCGCCAAGATGTGCACGACTATTTCGTACAGATTATTTTAAGACCATTCTGGCATGCATGATGCCATGGCAGCATAATTCAAATATTGCCAACCCGTACGTCATGTGGCGTTCAAGGCCACGAAGAATATTATCGTCAAGTTGTTCATGTCTGGCGTCCGTGAATGTGATTTCCAAATATAGCGGACGTCAGTTGGCTCAAAACCAATGTTGAGTAAGCTGTGCAAATTTCAGTCGTGAATCACGTTTTGTGCTACATAAGATAAGAAGTTGCACATGGTTTCTAATTATGATAGAAATAAGGCTTGTAATCGAATAACGTTAGAATGGCGCCATAAATGAGTATTTTAGTACACGTAAATATATGAAACTCAGGGATAAACAGGCAGAAACATCACGCAAAAGGACCAAAACACGAGCATATAACGACATTTGGTTCAGCGACAACTTGCATCACCATCACTGCCATCTTTCGGCAAGTTGAATGCACTTTTAATAAGTACTAGGGCGGCAATTTCGCTCGAGCAGTTTAGCAGCACCTTAACGTCATGCAACTGTTTCCTGACGCAATCAAACAATGACGCATTTCGGAGCACATTTACTAAACAGGGAAATTGTGTTATTTAGAGCAGTCTTTACACTTTAAAGTACACCAACAGTTATGAGGTAGCTCATTTCATCATAACTGATGCTTGATTGAACTCAAGGATAAATCTTCATGTTTGTAGCATTTCATCTAAAGGGACTGTCCACCTTTGGAAATACTGAGGCAAGCATTGGACGTGATGCTCACTTCTAACTATTGGTGTGCTAAAAGTACAAATGACTGCCCTGAATTTCAAAACTACACTAATTTGTTAATTCTCTCCTCAATACGTCACCGCATGATTACATCATGGAATGTTTTGATGACGCCAGAGTCTCTGCCAGAGTTGCCATGTCAGAGATGACGCTGTAGAGGACGGCGCGACGCATTGTGGTACTTCTAGGCATTGCAAGGAAACATTGTTGATTAATGCATGTCAGTTTTATTTCTAAGTGTTATGAGCACGTGCTTTGGCCTTTCGTCGTGGTGTCCTCGCTTATTTGTTCGTGATGCCACGTATTTTCATTGAATTAACATTTTCGGTTACGGCACTATTGTTACGTCATTCGCTTTTAAGGCAGCTCCGTCAAATTTGGTAGGTACCCAAATACCTCGGTTAGTTGTGACAAAGTGAGGTTCTTGATCGAGGCATGTAATCGGCAACCCGACCTTACTGCTAGCCAATGGGTTTTCACCGTTGGGATTCTTGGTGCTGCACCAGCGCAAACATGAATGTTTACGTGGGCATATTTGTCTTGACCATGAGCACAAAACAACCATTGACTTCGGGTGTTCGTGTGACGTCTCTTTGACGTCATACATGTCTGGGTGACTTTCAAATAGGTGATGTGTGGCAGGGCGCACAAGTTAGCGTGTATCAAGCTCATAAACAAAGAGGGCTTTAAGTCTTAAAAAGGGCACGGCTGTGAACTGCAGGAAAGGATCATGAAAATCGCCAACTCAGTTCAAAGCCTCATACAGTGTCGAACATTCCCTTAAGACACGATTCCGCCACAACGCACCCTGCAACGATTTTAGAATTAAGTCCAGACGAAGTAAGGCCACAAGTAACTCTTTACACCACGGACCACAATGCAATATTTTCCACTCGATTTCGATACAGACTATGATGATACGCGGTCTGGCGCCACAAGCCTGCTGTCGGTAGTCGTTTGCCTGCAGGGTGACCCTGACCCAGGCCGTGTCACCAGCGGCCGAGTCGGCCGGCCGGGAGGATGAGCTCAGTCATGGCACAGAACAAGCCTCGATCCATGTCCAGTCGACAGTTTTGCACTTTGGTCGATGAAGAAAATCTCTATTTCCGGTCCGGTTCTAACCGAACTTCGAAAATCAGGGCAGTGTCTGATGCCAGTGGTCTGGCTGAACACTCAAAGCGATTGAAACAAACTCAAAACACTTGAATGAAACCGTGGTAAGATTCTGATGACAGCACTCGACGCTCATGTGCCTTCCTACAGAGTACAAGACATACGTGACTAGACCTTATGCTAACGACACTAGCGATGCGTCCGACATAAATACAAACTAGCTGATCTGGCATTGATCCGTGATGACATGTGATGTGAACATTGACACCGCATGAGTTGGTTCAATGCTGGCGACATATTTGCAACAGTGCGCAAGTTGCCTCACTCGCTATACTTTCCCACCCACAGGGCAGGAACAGGCCTACCACAACCGGTCGATGCAGGACAGGAGAGACCTGTTTGTCCACCGATGAGTGCTCTCTACTTGTGATGTGAACGTTGTTGTGAAGAACTAATTACAACGCAGGACCTTCCTGTGGCGCTGGCACGCCGCAGTAAGCGCCGTGCTGCAGCGGCGGGCGTCTGCTGGCGCGCCACAACCTGGGACGCTGCAGCCAGACCGTCCAATGGCCAGGAACGCACAGCCAACAACGACACCCGGAGAACTGCACTGTCGATCTGCCGGTTCGTTTATAACACCACGTCGCCACCATCGTCCCTGATGCGTCTTTGACCGTTGCTCGTACTGCGGGATTGGTGCTGATGAGCTCCGATCTGTGGACAGGGGATTGCATAGCAGATACAAATACGTGTCCCACGTCGTCTTGTTTCGCATTGAAGGCTGACGGGAACAGTGGAATAACGTCAGGTCTCAGGCTGGAAATTTAATTTCATCTGATGTATTATTACTTTATTTTGCCGGGCGTGCTGAACATCTGATGATGATAACCCAGAACGAAATACCTTCAATTTGCATACAGTTAGAAACATTATTGGACAGTCTCCGCTCATGATACGTGGGGCAAAAATATCGTGAAAAATATATGAACAATAGTTGTATATTTGGGTTGTGCTTCCCTCAGAATATAAAAGAAAATCATGGAAATCATTTTCAACGATTTTCATTCGGGTTGTGAGAAAGCAGCGGACTGAATATACAAACACGTCATATATCTTTAGCTTCCTTTTACCTCATGTACCATGAGTACAGACTACTAAATACAATCTGCAATTGCACGTTGTACTTTGTTGATTGCAGCCATCTACGCCAGATGTCAATGAGGAAACGTTGAACCTTGTTGTAAAATTGTAGCGCATTCGCAATGCACGTTGTTACCCAGATAGCCTCTACATTGCACGACGTTCGTCGTCTTTGAAGGGCCAAGGGGAGGCTGGCAAGCGACCGTTGGACAGCGCTGGCGTACACGTTTCATAACGGTGTGAAACGACGCGTTGCCGGAGCTCTCTCGCCCCATTACACGGGCATATGCCTCACGGCGTATGCATCACATATGCATATGCGGGCACATGCCTCACCTCTGTGCTGCTCCTCACGCTTCACAGTATCACCGGGAGCAGGATGAAGGCGAAAACCGTCAGCGCTCCGAGGAAGGGATGCAGTTGCCGGACCTCGTGCCCGCCAGCTCTTGCTATCCTCGACTCGAGAGCTGAGGACGAGAGGATAGTGCGTCCAAAAACGAGTCCAGGTAAGCTTGCAAGCACACCAGCCAATCAAGCGCACGCGTGGCTGTGAGGGGATGTTTAGAATCATATAGGTCACTACCCAATCAGACGGGAGCCAGGAAAACCTACTCTATTTTCGCAAACCACAATCAGTCTTGAGAAACGATTCCCTGCCTAAAAGCCAACATGGCTGTAATCTGACGTTTTTATGTTTTACTTTTGCAAAGATATTTGTTCCCGTGATGAAGGCAACTCATAAATGATAGGTTTTCTTGCTTTTGTCCAGCATTCAAGAAGTTAATGAAACATTCAGTCCAAACCAATGTTGTATGACTAGAAGCGTATACCCCATCACTTGGATAAGGGCTTTGTTAGTTTAGGAAAATGTGGTATTGCTTAACTTACCACGTGCTTACTTGTTAACATAAGGCATCGGGACGTGAGCCAAAATCCGTCATCTTTGAACCCTATTCTAAACCGGAAGGTACTGACTATCTACCTATCCTGTATCAATGAAAAATACATACGTAAAGGTAGGTGATAATAAATCCGTTCTTGTTTGTTTACGATGCTTTAGCATGCCACAACATTTGTGAAAGCTTGGTTATTTTTTGGTAACATTGAATTAAGTGGTAATGGTGTATGGGCTACGATCAAATCTAACGAGTTTTTTCAATGCATCGTCTTTGTGGCACTGATCTCGGTGTTTGCAAGCCCGTGCATACAGGGGACGGTGAAAAAACAGGGATTTAAGGTGGCATTTTCCATCATCCAAGCTTGAGCACTGAATGAACACGTAATGGCAATGGTTATGATTGCGGGGACACATGAATTGGGCATCACTTTACAAATAACGAGCAGTCCAATGTTTCCTTCAACATTTACTTCAGGTGTACCGACCCGGAAATATGTGATTCACATCACAAATGTGCGTTTTGGGTGTTTGCTGTACCTATCCAGGTGACTGTTAGGTTGTTGGTGTGGTTCTGCTCCCGTAGCGCCTGATGCCTCTTACCATCAGCCGTTAAAAAATTACAGCACTACCTAAGAATGGTACCTGCAGTCAAAACTTGCGTCATAGCTGTAGGAAAAATAGAGTAAGGTTGGGATATTTGTTATACTGAATGACTGCACACTTTTTTGCCCCACCGCACCCCTGAGCCCTGTCTTAACCACCCCGGTAAAGGCATCTCCAACAATGGTTACAGGTCAGCGTTACTACATGCAAATATAGGCCATCGCAAACATTGTACCGCAGAGTCAATGTGCAGCATTGGGCGCGCGATACACATCCTATCCCTAAACGCATCTCGAGAAGCAGATTTCCTGAACGTGTATGACCCAAACATGGGATACGCTTCAGCTACTTGTGTGCTCTCGTGGGGCAAGGACGCCATTCATTTTCAAAGGAAGTCAGGCAAGGACCCCATTCAGTTTCTTAATCTCCGCGACGGAAAGGGTGTGAAAGTAGACCACATGATAGCAGCATCAATGCCGCGTTCGCCAGTACACAGGGTGACGAGCCTGAGCATATACGAAATAGCGTTTGAATCAGGCCTTGCCCTTCGAGAGGGTATAAACCGCAGTATGTGGCGCCCACACCTCACCCTGCGTGTGCCTACCTTCGCCCTTGGACAGCGTGGAGAAGTGGAACATGTCGGAGACGGCGTTCCAGCCGTGCCGGTTGCTGGCCTGGATGTACAGGTCGTAGGTGGTGGCCGGCTGCAGGTGCCTTAGCGTGATCTTCTGGTGGTGCAGGATGTCGTTGACTGGCTCCGTGCCCGTGGTCGGTACAATCACCTCCTTGAACGGTGACGGTGACGCCACCGAAGAGTTGAACTGGGGGAGGGGAGATGTTCATGACAGAGACGCCAGCCTCGTTGCTGTCCCCAACGCACGCACATCGCGGCGTGCACCTACATAAAAAGCCGGCGGAAATGTCACGAACGATGAAATCATTCACACTTTCTTCAGATAGGAGATGTTATCCGCACGGTCCCGTTGAGGCCATCTGCTCGCGCCCGGCCTGGGAACACTTCGACGCGTCGTCAATGGCCCATGAGCACGGACCTCCTCTTGAGGGTTTTCCAACATCCCAAGAACTATGCACGCTGGGGACACATAAAAAGACCATTTCACAAAGTTCATGCCAAACAGTGCTTAAACAATAC